CACTGCATGACACAGGTGCACTTACTTACATGCAGGCAATACACACATACACATAAAATAAAAATAATAAATAAAATACTTTTTTGAAAAAAGAAAAAATTTAGCCGGGCATGGTGGTGCATGACTTTAAATCCCAGCACTTGGGAGTCAGAGGCAGGTTGATCTCTTTGAGTTCAAGGCCAGCCTGGTTTATATAGTGAGTTCCAGGACAGCTGGGGCTACGGCGAGACCCTGTCTCAAAAAAACCAAAAAAATTAATTAATTAATTAATTAATTGATTAAAATAATTTTGATTATTACTTGTTACCATAGCTATAGATAATGTGGTCTTTTCCTAGCAGTGTGAGGACACTTTTTTTTCAGTTTGAACCTCTATGCACCACTGTTCTCCAGAACACAGCAGAGTAGGATCATATTATTACAAACATCCACTTTCAAGTGATACCAGCATATCATTGGGAGCCATCTATAAACAAGGTATGAATATTCCTTAGTAATCAGATGGCCATCAAATATTCTGTGAGGATTTGACCTCTTTCTTGGGGGTAGAGGAACCGAATGGAGCAACTTAGTACTTAACTTAGCATGTGCAAAATCACTTAAACCTTAGATACTTCTCTGATAAGGAACAATCAACAATTTTGTGAGATTTATTTCCTACTTTGGGGCATGAATGTGTCTTCCTAAGGAGTCTAGAGTAGTTGCTACCTCCTGTGCCCTTAAGTCCAATCAACATACCATCAATGTAATGGAAGAGGTCAGGCTGCTGGCAGTGTTGTTACTGTAAGCCTCTAGTGATACATATTGCTACATTTCCCAGACTGAAAGCTGTAAAGGATGTGTTCGTTGGCACCAGTAATAAAGCCACACCAAAAGCACTGAAATTGGAGTTGAAATCTGGTTAAATTTACAATCCACTGTAATTCTATAATTACAGTAGAGAGTGTAGGGACTGGAGAGACAGCTCAGTTATTAAGAGCACTGGCTGCTCTTCCAGAGGATCTAGTAATGGCTCCCAGCACCTACATCTGGCCTTCCTTGGAAGTTTCAGAGAGCTACCAAGGCCAGGCAGCATGCAATAGGCATACCCTTGCCTAAAGAAGGCCACAACAGGCCAAGAGGCCCTGACAGGCCATTGCGTGAAGCTTTGAAGGTGAAGCTTTGTTGGCAGTGGAGACCCAGAGACATTGAAGATGCTAGAGCTATGAGGCATCTACCAAGGAGAGCTGCACACAGGGAGTGGTACCAGCCCAAGAGAGAGATGTATGTTGCACACAGCAAAGCTGGAGGGGCTGAGCCATCTAAGCCCTTTGGATGTAAAGTCCCAGAAGTTGGTCACGGAGCTACTGGATTTGGTGTTTGTCCTGCTGGTTTTCATCTCGTTTAGGTCTGGTATTTCCTCACTATAGCCCCATTCCTCCCTTTTGAAATGGCAATGTATTTTTTATTGCATTGTATGCCAAAAGTTTGTGATCAAATATTGTAATAGGGACTTAAACAATTAAGAGATTGCCTTGAGTCTTGGGAGAGATTATGGACTCTGGACTTTTGAATAGTATTGAGACTGGTAAACACTATGGGGACTTTTGAAGTTGGACTAAATACATTTTGCTTTTTGTATGGTCATGAGCCTGTTGGGGCCAGGAGTGGAAAGTGGTGGTTTGAATGAGAATGTCTCCCACAGGCTCCAAGTATTTGGACATTTTTGTCCCCAGTTGCTAGTGCTGGTTTTGGAGGTTTTAGGATGTGCAGTCTTGTTGAGGGAAGTGTGTAACTGGGGGTGGGTTTTGAGGGTTCTTAAGCTTTGCCAGATTTCCAGTTGCTCTCTGCTTCCTGTTCCTGCTTGAAGATATAACCACTTGACTTTCTGTTCTGGCCACCTCTGCCATCGTACCTCCCCCTCTAATGAACTCTAATCCTCTGGAACCTTAAATCAAATGAACTCTTCCTTCTCAAAGTTGCCTTGGCCATGGTGCTTTATCACAGCAACAGGAAAATGACTAATACAGTGATATTCTGAAACTCCACTGAGTTCCCTATAAATGTATGGTAATGTTCACCCAAAAGGACAATTAGTATGACTATATGCAACACACGCTGGGGGTCTTAGCCATGCCTGACATGTTGTGTGTATTCAATACATGTTCCCTTTCTTTCTTCTCTCACAGTCACATTCTGTTATCTGCTACTTATCTGGATACAAGAATGGGACGTTCTTTCACTTCTGAACACAACATGCCCATCAGGCCAAATCAGCCTACCTCCTGTTTTTGTAAATAAAAACTTACTGAAACACAGTCGCACTCATATGCCCATAATAAATATATATGGTAATATTATATATATATGACTATTTTGTGCTACAATGACAGAGGTGAATATTTACACAAAGGCAGTATGACCCCGAAAGCTGAAAGATAATATCTGGTCATTTACAGATGTTTCATGATCCCCGATCTAGAGTCCCCTCCTCTTATGTTACTGTCCTGCCTCTGAAGAGCTGCTTTGGAAGAGTAGGAGAGATGCCTCATCATAGGATCCAGGTCTCTCAGGAGCTGACCATAGATCGAACACCAGCAGGGCAGAGAGCAGAATCATGAGAATTTCTGATAAGGAAGATAGGCGGCCAAAGTGAAAGACAACCCTCTCCCAGGCCGTTCTGTGGTTTCCAGCCCTTCCCCTTCCCCGACTTTGGAACTATAAAAGCAGGGACGACGGGCAGGACAGTGCCAGAAGCTTACCACAGGCGGCATTGCTGGGAAGATGCAGGCCCTGCTCCTCCTCTTGGTCCTTCTCTTGCCTTCTGAAGCTGGAGCTGGTAAGTCTTGTCTACACCTCCCTATCCCCTAGGATTTCAACACTTAGTCCAAATCTGTTCGCCTAGATGACAGAGGCCCTAAAATGAAGCTGCAGGATCCTTTACATGTATTCCAGGGGAAATCTCCCGGGTCAAGAAAGAAAATTGGTCCCCCTTCATACACCCACAATCCCCCATCAAAGCACCCACCACTCTGATGTGTGGCCCTTGTCTGGCCTTCCCTTTGGGTCGAAGAAGACAGGAGGAAGACATCAAGAAATGTCTACATGATGTGACAACTCAGTAACAATGGCTGGACAATGTGTTCTGAAATCTGATGACGCACAGGGAGGGCTGAGGGATGGGGGGGAGACCAAGACCCATGGAGGGGCTGAGTTGCATGAGAGGTGGGGTAGGCTTGGAAGCAGTCACTCAGCTTTAACCCAATTTGCACAGGGAGGGCTGAGGGATGGGGGGGGAGACCAAGACCCATGGAGGGGCTGAGCTGCATGAGAGGTGGGGTAGGCTTGGAAGCAGTCACTCAGCTTTAACCCAATTTTCTTCTGCCCATGCTGTGATGGGAGACACTAAAAGTCTGAGTTAAGGACCTGGGGTTCTTTGTTACAGAGGAAATTATCGATGGTGTTGAGTCCAATCCACACTCCCGCCCCTACATGGCCTACCTGGAAATCACCACCGACGGAGGCTACCTCGCCAGTTGTGGCGGGTTTCTCATAACTCAGCAGTTTGTGGTGACTGCTGCTCATTGTAAAGGAAGGTAAGAGGCTTCTCTTCATCTGAAGAAAATGTGTGGACCAGAATTACAGACAAGGTAGGAGAGACCTGAGGAAAGACTGTCGCCCTGCTCATCGCCAGATGCACAGCTACACATATTGAAAGGACTGATGGCACATGAGCCACTTGTTTGAACCATTTTCTTTGTCATCTCATTTCCAGAGGCCAAGGCCTTAAGTAGGGCGGCTCCAGTCAAGGCAAGCCAACATTTTCCTCTTGTCTTGATGCCACCAGAGCTCTAAGGATGGTGATGCAATTCAATGGTAGAGCACCTGCCTAGCATGTGGAAGGCCCTAGGTTCTATCCCAGTATTAGAAGAAAAGAAAATAAACTCAGTCTTGTTTTTCTCTGATCCCTACCCTTCCTGGAAAGTCAGTATCCTGGGAACCTGGTGCTGAGTACGGTCTGATTCTCCCAAGTAGCTATGCGTTGGGAAGGAGGAGAGCCTGGTGCCCCTCTGCTCAGCATGGGCCCTCTTTATGAGCCAACACTTTTCACTGCCTCTTTTCCTTATCAACAGGGATATTACTGTCATTCTTGGAGCTCATGACGTGACCAAGAAGGAATCCACACAGCAGAAGCTGAAAGTCCAAGAACAAATTGTTCACCCAGATTACAACTTCTTCACCAGCCTCAACGACATCATGTTACTGAAGGTGCCACTGCCTCTCTTGCCCTTCCTAATTCTCCCTTCCTCAACTCTCTAACTGGCCTGCCTTTTGCATTCTCTCTCATCCAACCCATTGCCTCAGAGCCAACCCCTTAACTCCATGTCATCACCACCTCACTGGGAAAAGAGTCCCTTGTCCAAGATACCCTCCTTCTCTGGAATATAATCCCTCTTTCCTCCTTCCCCTCACAGCTTAAAAGGAGTGCTAAGCTGACTATTGCTGTGAACACAGTTCCTCTGCCCAACCGGTTTAAGTTTATTCGACCCGGGAGAATGTGCCGGGCAGCTGGCTGGGGGAAAACCGGGGTGACAGATCCAACGTCAGATACTCTGAGAGAGGTGAAGCTAAGAATCATGGATAAAGAGACCTGTAAAGACTACCATCATTATGATTATGACTTCCAAGTCTGTGTGGGCAGTCCCAGCAAGACAAGATCAGCATACAGGGTGAGTGTGTGCCTACTTTTTTCTCCCGCAGTGGGAGACAGCATCATCGAGACGGGGGAGCCAAACAGTTTTCTGTTGTAATGACTAATACCTGTGTCCTTGGTTCCTAGCACTCTGGGAACTGGAATTCTCCCTCTGGGCTCCATCTTCCCATGCCCAAACCTACCTATAACCTCCCCATCCAGTCTGTAATATGGGGCTCCAGAGAAGAAAGGGAAGAGGATGAAGGGAGACATGATGTGAACATTGGGTCCAGGCCATAGAGAAAAATCAGGCATTAAATGCCTAATTTATGATTCATGGGGATCCTGACTTTACTCTGGGCACCTTGGGGTTAGCAAAGGTCTGCTTGAATCAGGGAGTGAGGAGACTAGTTGAGGAAAGACGATCTCTGCTCATGATTTACTTTCTCTAACCTATAGGGAGACTCCGGGGGACCTCTGCTGTGTGCTGGGGTGGCCCATGGCATTGTGTCTTATGGACGTAGAGATGCAAAGCCCCCTGCTGTCTTCACTCGCATCTCCCCATATGTGCCCTGGATTAATAAAGTCATAAGGGAAAGTAGTGAAGAAGCCTTGTCAGCCTAAGGCAGTCGCCAAGCCAGAACTCTTCTGGTAGTCCCCAGGTTCCACAGAGCCTGTCCCCAGTCTGTCCTTAAGGAAGCCATCAAAGATACATAACAAGCCTCTGATGATTATTCCCCCCAATGAACCTCAATAAAGATGCAGCCTCCAGCAGGTGTGTGTGACTCTACTCTGTGCTCCAAGCTGGCACACTCCCTCGCTCGCCCATAACCCGTCTCTAGACTGCATGAGGAATTGCTTTAAGCTACTCTCTTGCCAAGTTAATAATCTTGACTACCGAGTTCCCTACACATGATGTTCCATTGTGGATTATTGAATGTTAACTAACACAGAGATGTAGACTATAAGATTTCACATCCAAAGTAATTATCTGCAACTGTCCTTTCTTCTCCTCTTCCTCACGTCTCACCTCTTCTCCCCACAAGGCAGACCTAGCCCATCCCCAGGAAAGGATCCCCAAGAACTTAAGCATGAACCCGGCCCTAGAATACTGCAAAGCCTCCCAAATCCAACTGTCAAATTTCTCAGAGACGACACAGTGTCTCCAAGGCTCTCAGAAAAAGGATACCTGAGTTAGGTCAGCTTTCAAGTGGCCTGTTATCTTGGGTCCCAAAGCCACCATTGTCCAAGTTGGGAACTGAATACTCACAGCCATACACCCTTATCCAAAGGAAACAGCATAAACTCCAGGGAAGTGTGGAACCTAAAATCAAAGAGGCCATACATGGGTTCCACCATGTCCTCAGGGGACCCAAGAGAGCGGGCTTGAGCCTCTGACCACTATAGCACGAGAAATTGCTGCCACCACTAGCCCCAGATCAGGAACCTGGCACCTCTCCCTTCCCCACTGTCTGCCAGCTCACATATCTGAGTTTCCAGTTTCACCACTGATCAGTACAAATGTAAGTATAGAAATGAAAGTACAAGAAAGACTATAAACTCTTTTCTAACTCCACAAAGCAAAGCACATGTGGAGATTAAAAAAATAATAATCCTGAAAGGATCTCAAAAAATTAAAGAACCTTTTCAATTACAATTACAAGGGTAATTTTGTTTCTTCTTCCTAACTCTTGTTTACATTTGCATAATTAAATGATGGGGTCTTTTTCTCTTCATTTGTTTTGGTTTGGCTTGTTTGATTTGGATGAGATAGCCTCAACCAGACAGGCCTCCAACTCATAATCCTCTTGCCTCAGGCTCCTGGTGCTGGGATTACAGGCATGCTTACAGGACACTTTCAAAATGTGAGATACAACACAAAGGCACAGGCTGTATATTTTCTTAGGAGATCTGAGGCCACATCACCTCTTTGCTCCCATAGCCTAAGGACAGCATGTACTGTTCCCAGAAACTGGACAATTGGATGTGGAGAGTGATTACCCCTGCAGCCTGGCCTACAAGAGTAGTGAGCAGGTGGAAGCTACGGAGAGCTCCGTTGAGCCCACAGGCCGAATGGCTTCCAGAAGGGTCACCACTGCAGAACAAACCACATTGCGTGGGCCTGTGCTGTGAAAAGAACAGTTGGTGGTCCAGTCACTCACAAACCAGATAAGCGCGTGGATACCACTGCAGCATTCATCCTGAGATAAGGTGGATGGGGCCCAAGTAGTGGCCTGCCTGGTAGACCCTGTGAGTGAGAGGACAGTCACGTACCACAAAGTCAACAGGAGCAGCTATCCCGATAAGAGGCGTTCTCCCAGGGTGAGCACAGTTCCAGGCGGCCCGTCTTGATGAAGGCTCTCAGGGCATCATAACCAGCGGGTACCCTCACCCTAGTGAGGAGATCTCCAAAGGGAAGGTTGGCTCAGCCAATGGAGGGTAACAGAGAAGAGGTCAACAGGTTGTCAGCCAAACCTCGCAAGAGTGTCAGCAAAGCCCGAAATGGCACTACTACTGTGATTCTAAACTGACATTTAAGGGGAGATAGGGAAACACGCCTTAGCTGTGGCTGACCCTGTCAAAGCTGTGTGCACTCTGTAATACATTTTGTCATGGTCGTCCAGGTCTCCCAACAGCTTTGTTAATGTACTGTTTGAGTACATAGTGTACTATATTATATTAAGATGTGAATTGATCAGACCTCCTGAACAGCTTACTGTAGTTAATGTCTTTGAACACTTGGTCCCCAGCTGCAGCCTCATGGGAAAAAGTGGGTCGCTGTAGACTGGTCCTGAAGCTTTACAGCCAAGTTCCACCTCCTTTCTGCTCTCTGCTTCCTGACAGCTGATGCAATGTGACTATATCCCTCCCAATCCTGCCTCCTTGGTGAACTGTCCCTCAAACTGCAGACCAGAATAAATCCTTCTTCCTTTAAGTTATTCCTGCCAGGCATGTGGTCACAGCAATGAGAGAAGTAACCAACACAGCTTCCCTGAGACAGCAAGAATAACAGGTCCCACAGCCCTTGCCTTTAAGGCAAATGCAGGCTCTCCTAGTGATATCCATTCCACTCTACGTGGTCACAGTCCCAACTTCATGATCTGCAACTGCAAATTAAACTATCAAGTCCAGCACTGACAAACTACTTACAAACTAGACAAGGGAGGCAGAAGGGAAAGCAGAATTCTGGTAAACGATGCCCGTGTCAGGCAAAGAAAACACAGGCAGCTCATGGGGCCAACATTCCTGAGTTTGGTGCCCTGACCATAATTCAACTTTCCCTGTTTCCTCACCTTCAGCCAGACAGGTGAGACACAACTTGAGACCTGGTGGGTCTGAGCCCTGATGTCGTGGCACCATCACCCTAGTCCTGCATAACCTACCTCTCAATTTTCTATTACACAACTGAAAAACGGACATCCTTTCCATAAGCCTCTGCCACTTCGTCTCACTGCCATAGAGCCGCAAAACAAGACTCCAGATTTCCTCTGCCCTTCTGGTGATATAGACTGCCAGAGGAGAGTTGCCGATTTTAGCAAAATAAAAACACAGAGCTTTCAGATAAACGACCACTTTTACTAATCTCATTCAATATTTCAGATGTAGTTATACCAAAAACTGATTCTTTTGTTCACCTGAAACATTAATTTAACTGGGAAGTCTGTATTTTATGTGGCAACCCTACAGAGTGAAGAAAGTAATGATGGTAATCCTAAGATGTCCAGATGTGGGAAGACATTAGGAAAGTGTAAATGTCTTATTCTTAAGAGGGTCAAAGATACAGGTAGACTTTGGAAACTAAGCCGAGACCAACACAGCTGATGGAAATTAAGAAATGGATCTCTACAGTCACAAGCCCAGGCTTACAAGTCCACGGGAGGTAACAAGATGCTTGATACATGTTTTGATAGTTAGTCTTGGTCTGAGTTTCAATTCTACATTTGTAAGCAGACAGTATTGGTATTTTCCAAGGTTGTCATAACAAAAAAAAAAAGTATAAACTCTCAGACACTGACACCATGCGCTTCAGCCAAACCAAGCTTGATTCTTAGAGAGAAAGAAAGCCCAACCCCCCAGAGCAAATTATTCACCTCATACTCCTATACTTCCTTCGTCATTGACAAGATTGTTTCTCTTGGGTGTTTGAGCAAAAAGGACTCTTGGTTTGAAATCAGGAAAATCTAATTGTAAACCATAAGCCTGGAAGGTCAGATCAACAAAACTAAGACAATAACAGCTATCTTACAGGATTGCTATGAACGCAATGATACATAATGAATATAACAATAAATTGCATGTACAGACTCCAAGGCAATGATCATGCCACCACTTTGTTCTTGTGATAATGTATGTAAAGTCCAATCCTAGAGTCTGCTTCCCTCCCCATGTGCTCTCCTTCACCCCTCTTCCTCTGCCAATAAATATTGTTTCAGAGGGAGAGAAGCAGATTAATTTGTCTCAAATGCAGATAATCATTATTTAAGAGGGGTACTGCCCAAGATTTAATATGAAGTGGAATTAAATATAAAGGAATAGCATGACAACAGAGAACATTGTGTTTTAATGTTTAATTTTAAGAACTTCATACATGTATACAATGAAATATGATCATACCTAACCCCACATTCTCCTTAACACATCTCCCTCTCAATGTCATGTCTTTGGGGGGAAGGATAGCCCACCACATGCAGAAAGTCTGCCCATATGTGCATAGGTGTAAGGCCATCCACTGGTGCATGGGAATCCTACCAGTGGCCACATCCTCAATAAAGAATTAGTTTCCCTCCACCAACAACTATGTACTTCCAATAGCTCCTCGGTGTAGGGTGGCCTGGAGATCAAATACCCCATCTCTGCTGCAATTTGGGCCGCTTGAACTTGTGCAGGTCACCACAGTAACTGAGTTCATGAGTGTCACAGCCATGGAAGGCCCAGAAGGCAGCATTTCATGGCACTCCTCCCCACCCTCAAGCTCCTACATTTTTTCTGCCCCCTCTTCCACAGCGTTCCCTGAGCCTTGGTGGTAGAAGGATTAATACAGATGTCCGATCTAGGACTGAGCATGCTTATGCTCAGCACTTGACCAGTTATGCATCTCTGCATTGACTGCTGCCCACTGCAAAAAGAAGCTTCTCTTGACCAAAGTTAAAAGCACCCCAGGTCTGTCAGTTCAACTATAAATGTTTAGGGGACAATTTGACAATATGACCATTTAGCAAAATAAAAATAACAGATTCTCCCTATGGCTTATGACCTCCCCAGTCACAGGCTTTTGGTCAGGATTACAATACCAGGTATGAAATACCTTCGTGTGGAGTAGACCTTAAATCGGATCAAATAGCAGTTACCCCATAACAGTTGTGCTCCCGTTGTATCAGTGGGCGCATCTTTCCTGGCAGGTCAATATTGTAGCATGAGGGTCCAGCTCTGGCTAACACCATTGATGCCTTTCCTTCCCAGCAGCCTGCATAGCGCCTTCCAGCACTGTGAAAGCTGGCCAACAGGGAGGAAGTTTCCTAGTTGGTTTGGCATTGATTCCTCTAAATTCTACAGCCAAAGTGTGTGGTATCTTCAACAATAGGGTCTCACCATATAGTTATGGTGGGTAACTAAAGGCAATGGCAATAGCCTGTGATGTTTTAGAGACCCCTTGGGCCTCCCTGACCAATAATCACTATGGAGGTGTGTCATGCTTTGTACTGTGATTTTCATTTAATAGTCCATGTCTGCTGGGGGTGACAGGGTCTACCCATGCAGGGTAATTCCATTCAAACTTTTTTAAGTTGTATTTTGAAATTAGCTTACTGACTAGGTTTGCAGAAGGCTTTTTCACACAGCCTTGGTTTTGGTTAACCTACTCACTATCCCCTTTTTCCTCCATCCCTGTTTAATCATTCAACTTTCAATGGCATATTCTGTGTGTTTGCTCACATGCATGCTTATACATGTGTGTGTCCACTGAGTTTTTCTACAAAATGAACTTCTTACTGTGGGTCACAGCAGTAACAGCCTGCGTGCTTCTGAATGTTCAGTGAAAACATTATCCCAAAACCCATGCCTCGGAGCCTGATGTGGCGCACCCCTTTAATCCCAGCACTCAGGAGGCAGAGGCAGGCAGATTTCTGTGAGATCAAGGCCAGTCTGGTCTACAAAGTGAGTTCCAGGCCAACTGGGGCTACAAGGAGACCCTGTCTCCAAAAAAAAAATAAATAAATAAGACCAAAACCCATGCTTCTGATGAGCCTTTCACAAGTTCACAAGTTGTTCTAACTGGAAAAGGTAATCCCGCCACATCCCACATCCCTAACCCAGAAAGATTCATGGTTAAAGACATCTAAGCTATAAGAGCACAGGCTTCGACTTCCCCTCTAGAAAAAACAGTATGATCCTGGGTGACCCGCTAGTCGTGAAGACAGCCAACTTAGAGAAAAAACCATGACCACTCAGTTCCTGTGGTCACAGTCCTGCCCCTCCCTTGCCTGCTGAGAGTAATAAATCCTGAGACTGAAGATAGAGCCAGTGCCTGCCAGGAGCAGCCTCTCTGAGAAGATGAATCTTCTTCCTGTCCATCTAATGTTCCTTCTCCTCTGCTCCAGCGCCAAAGCCGGTGAGTTTTGGGGTCCTTCCCTCTGAAATCTTCAAGATCAACTCCTAAAACAAAGCTGCTTAGTCTCACTGTAGCTGACTCTTAAACAGGTCCCAAGAGCTCTCTTTAAGCATACCAGAGCCAGGCGTGGTGGCATTGCCTTTAATCCCAGCACTCAGGAAGCAGAGGCAACCAAGTCTCTATGACTTCGAGGCCAGCCTGATCTACATAGAGAGGTCCAGTCCAGGCAGGGCTACACAGTGAGACATTGTCTCAAAAAAAAAAAAAGTACCACAGTGAAGTCTCCTCTGGGGCTATGTCCATCCATTCTCTGAGGTCATGGTAGGTCCCAGGAACAAAGAGTTCTGCATTGACCGAGAGAGGGGGGTTGTAAAGCAAGTGGGAGGAAGAGAGGGATCCCCAGGAAAACAGCCACATTCTCTTCATCTTCTGGGCTTAAATCTAGAGATTATCCTGAGATCTGGTTGTTCTGTGACTGTCAGAAGGCCAGGACAGGAGGAACCAGAACAACAAACATCCTACAGGAGGACAGAAGGGCCAGCCACAGGGCAGGAGTGCAGAAACGCAGAGCTGAAAAATGCCTAGCTTTAAGGCATGACTGGCTGTCGTACCTCAAGAACGAACGTTAATTTAAGGAGTAAATTTTGGGGGTAAGGGGAGAAAAGCCAGTGACAGAGTCAGAGAGGGCGGAATTCAGGGCGAGGAGGAACACCAGGGAAGTCTCAGTCTTAACCCAGCTGCGCTGTTCCCTTCGTCAGGCCCTGGGGTTCTCTGTTCCAGGGGACATCATCGGGGGCACAGAGTGCAAACCACACTCCCGCCCCTACATGGCCTATCTGGAAATTGTCACTTCCCAGAATTACCTGAGAGCTTGTGGTGGCTTCCTGATAAGGCGAGACTTTGTGCTGACAGCTGCTCACTGTGCAGGAAGGTGAGACCAGATGCTGTTTATTTCAGAGAGTAAGGAAATCAATCAGGGTAGCAACCCCGGGCACATCCAGGTGGGATCTGAAGAGAGATCTGAGCCGGGGTCAGCTGGCAGGTGGGAAACGGCATTAGGTAGATTCCCTGAGCCTCGATCACTGTGAGCACAACGCCCCTCAGAGGCAAGGGACGTGTCTCTGAAAGCAGCTCCCTCGGTACCCGTTCAAAACAGAAGATGTGCATGGCTTACCTTTCAGGGCCCACCCAGACTTCTAGGCTACTTCTCACAGGCCCTTCTCAAGAACTGCAGTTTCCAAGGTCCAGAGCCCCTCTCTTTTTTTTTTTTACTTAATTTTTGAGAGTTTCATACAATATATTTTGAACATATTTAAATCCTGTTCTTTATCTGCACCTCACCTTACTATCCCCTGCCCAATTTCATGTACCCTATTATATATGTGCGTGAATGTGTGTGTATGATATGTATGTATACACACCCATATACATATATATATATATATATATATATATATATATATATATGTCTATAGTATCAAGTTTGTGTCCCAAAACCGAAGCCTGGTTAACCTACCAAAAGTTAGAGGCTGACTCAGGGCTGGAGAGATGGCTCAGCAGTTAAGAACACTGATTGTTCTTGCAGAAGACCTGGGTTCGAATCCCAACACCCACATGGCAGCTAACAACTGTCCGTAACTCAGTCCCAGGAGATCCAACAGCCTCTTCTGATCTCTGTGGGCATTGCATGACACAGGTGCACTTACCTACATGCAGGCAATACACACATACACATAAAAGAGAGAGAGAGAGAGAGAGAGAGAGAGAGAGACTGACTCTCCTCTTCCCAGAAGCCATTGGTTTCCAATAGTTCCTCAGGTAGGGTTGGGATTTCTTACCCACTTCCCCACATCTATGCTGGGATTTTGTCTGACTTGAACTCATGTGAGACTTGTGCATGCTGTCACCACTGGTGTGAGTTCATAGGAGTAATTGACCACGCTGTTTCCTTGTGGTCATCCACAACCTCTGACTCTTACAATCTTTCCACACCCTCTTCCACAACGATCCCTGAGCCTTAGGAGGCAGAAGTTTGATACAGGTATCCAATTCTCGGATAATCACCCTGCAGCCTCTTATTGTCTACACGTTGTCCAGTTGTGAATTTCTGTGTTCATCGCCATCTACAGCATAGGAAGCTTCTCTGGTGAGAGCTGAGTGGTGCATTAATCTATGGGTATAATAAGAAGCCATTAGGAGTCAGTTTAATCCTATATATATTTAATAGTAGTCTTAGGCTGTGTCCTATGGCCTGTCTGGTCCTTAAGGGAGACAGAGAACAAGGTTCACAGAACACCACCACTTCCTGCTTTCTTCATTATCTCTTGCTGCAGAAGAAGCAATTTCTAGGGCTCCTGCGCTGGAAATTGTGTCTGTTCCGGAGAAAGTTCTGTCTTTAAAAGAAGCCTTTTCTTTTCTTTCCTGAAAGCTGGCTCCGGCCCCTTGCCCTCATGATTAAAACCTGAGCCCATCCAAAACTATAAGTGGCCAAGAAAGTGAGGATAGACAGAGCGTCCCAGAAAGGAATTATAGCCTTTTCTCAAAATCCATTCATTTAAGGAGCTGTCTCTGTTTCTAAGTGTCCATTCTTTTTTATTGCTGTAACAACAGCAATAGGGTTTGTTTGGGGGAGGGTTGAGTGGGAGTTGGGGGGCTTGTTTCTGAGACAAAGTCTCATGTAGCCCAGGCTGACCTCAAACTCACTATGACCTTTCACTTCTGGTCTTCTTGTCTCTATCTCTCAAGTGCAGGGATTATAGTCATGCACCACCATGCCAGTTGATATGGTACTAGGGATTGGACCCAGGGTTTCATGAGAACTAGACAAGCACTCTGCCCACTGCTACAACCTCAGCCTCTTGTCCTCCCTATAACAGATCTATAAAGGTCCTCCTAGGAGCCCATAACAAAACAGTGAAAGAAGACACATGGCAGACACTTGAGGTTGAAAAGCAATTCCCTCATCCAAACTACGATGACGATTTGATTCTCCATGATATCATGTTACTGAAGGTAGCAACATCTTTCTACTCCCATATACACTTCCTTCCGGCCCCCAATGCCCTGAACTCTCTGGCCTACCTCTAGACAGCATTCTCGCCACAGTCCCCCTAGCAGACTTGGCCCTAAAGTGAGGTGCTTTGCCCTTTCCCTCCCTGATTGCCTCCAGCTACCTCCTAGCCCATAGCCTTCACTAACAGCCCCTCATCTCCTTCGCAGTTGAAGGAGAAAGCCAACCTGACGCTGGCTGTGGGGACTCTCCCGCTCCCAGCCCAATTCAACTTCATCCCACCTGGGAGGATGTGCCGGGCAGTTGGTTGGGGAAGAACAAATGTGAACGAATCAGCCTCCGACACCCTGCAGGAAGTGAAGATGAGACTCTTGGACCCCCAAGCCTGCACACACTTCAGTTTGCACCACAATCTCCAGCTTTGTGTGGGCAATCCCAGGAAGAGGCAGTCCGTATACAAGGTGGTGTTCCAACTAGTCTGTCCAAAAATCACTGCTCAGGGGCCAGAATTCTAGGAGAGAGGGATGGAAGAAGTGGCAGGGTTTGGGAATCACAAGAGTCAGGAAATTGATGTGTTCCTCCTCCTACGACCCAGAACGGTCACGGGACACGCATCCTAGTCTGCTGGGCGGGGAACAAAGGGGTGATATGAAGAAGGTGGGGTGGCTGCCTCAGGAAAGGAAAGTATGGCAGCCGACTGAGGTGCACAAACCCTTGAGCTCCTGGGTCTGACTCTAGACCTGACTGTAACTCCATGTTGGGACCCATGGGTAGAAGTAGAGGGTCACTTCCTCTTCATTCATGCATTTCCTCTCTCCTTTCTTCTTCTCCCCTGACAGGGAGACTCTGGAGGTCCTCTTCTCTGTGCCGGGGTAGCCCAGGGCATTGCATCCTATGTACATCGGAATGCAAAGCCCCCTGCTGTCTTCACCAGAATCTCCCATTACCGGCCCTGGATCAATGAGATCTTGAGGGAGAATTAACCCTGGAAATGAGGAACTGGACCGGAACCAATTCTCTGTGCCTGCCATGTGATCTGGCCCTCCTTTGGTTCCTGCTAAAGTTCTGCCACATAGCCCTGAGCCTCTGGAAGGTTCCTACAGGCCACAATCTCAATAAACTCCAGTAAAGACCCAGATTCCAGACTGCAATGTGTGTCTTCTCTGCTCTCTTCTCCCTGCACATAGCAACCAAAACAAAGACAAGTAGGAAGCAAAGAAAAGCAGTTTTCCCAGAAGGCAGGATCTGGGTTTCCAGCTTAAGCAAGAAATTATATGTACTATACGCACTCCTTCCTTCTTTCTCTCTCTCTCTCTCTCTCTCTCTCTCTCTCTCTCTCTCTCATTGTCTCCCAAACTGCCTGTTTCCTCCAAGGGGTGGGGCTTGCTGTGGAGAATTGACTGGGGAGGGGTTTTCTGCACCATCTTGGGACGGAAGCCACTAGCCTCCAGGAACCTGCCTGCAGTGGTGGTCATGGAGAAAAAGATGGCCCCAGAATCTTACCCGTGTGGCCGCAAGAGGGGGCACTTACAGACCTGGGGTGAGACTGCGGGCTCAGTATGCATGGGCGAAAGTTAATGGAGACTATGGGTGAGTGGTGGGAGGAATCTGAAGTGGTGGGCTCTGAGCCACCGCTCAAGAGTGCTTGTCTCTGTGTAAGTTCCCCCATTTACCCCCTCCCTACCCAAGGGCATAAACCATAATAAATTCACATAAAAACATATTATATGGTTTGTCTGATTGCGCGAGAGACCCCAAGAGAACTCTGGCAACACTCATGCACATGTATGTACCCAGGTGTTCATGCCCATACACACACAGAAGCCAGAGGAGGACATCAAGTGTCTTGTTCTATCACTCTCTGCCCGATTCCCTTGAGCTAGGGTCTCTCACTGAACCTGGAGCTAGACTGGTGGCCAGCAAGCCCCAGATACCCTCTCATCTGCATCCCTCACAGTGCTGGGGTTACAGGTACACACATCCACACCCCATTTTTATGTGTGTTTTGGGGATTCAAACTCAGGTCCTCATGCTTTCCCAGCAAGCCCACTTAGCCACTGAGTCATCTCCCCAGCCTCTATCTTAACTATCAACACTATACTAACTCTGGTTTATATTTAATAATATTCAGAATCACTGAGAACATTTCGTATTGCCAACAAAATGTGGGATCTTTAAAATATGTCTGGCCTCTCCCCAGTAGAAGCTAGCAGCAACACCCTCCTCACTACCAACCAAAATGTCTCCAGGTGTTGATCAATAACCCCCATGGCCATTCAGGATCACCCTCAGCTGAGGATCACTGCTTCAAACACAAGTCATTAAAGAATGACTGTTACTATAACACAGGGTCTTTCTCACAGCCCATATGTAAGCTTTTAGGAGATGCAAGGGAGAGTGCCATTTATCCGTTGCTATGCAACAGATACAGGGGGCAGTAAGAAGAGGGACAGCATCAAGTTTGCTTGAGCGACAGCCATCCACAAAGGGCTCCATCCAAACCAGCAAGAGGCCCAAAGCCTAGAAGTGCTGAGCACAAACACTCGCCAGTGGAAGGAACAGAGTTTCAGGCTGCCAACGTGCATGGCTTCTGCGAGCACGGCAAATCTCTGACCAAGCAAATTGTTCCCAGGAATTCCTTAAGAAGTAAAAGAGAAATGCATAACGATTCCCGCATAAAGATTTCCATTATAATAAATTTAAAATGAGAATCCCAGCCATGGAACAGAAAGAGGCACAATGCATGCCCAGAGGCCCTGTTTCTTAAATGCAGTGAATAGGTATCTACCAACTGGTACACTGGAGCATTTTTTACAGAACTAGTACTAGAGATCACTCAATAACCTTCAAGAAACATTTTGGACTGGGCATAGTAATGCATGCCTGTAATCCCAGAACTTGGGAAGTAGACACAGGAGGATGAAGAGCTCAAAGTTATCCTTGGCTACATGGGAACTTCAAGACCAGCCTGGGCTACATGAGATCCAGTTTCAAAAAACAAAGAAGATTTCTATTATACAAATATCACTACCCAAACTATTCTGACAGTTATACAGCTTCATACAGTCCCTACAAAGTTTGTTTGAAATAGGGAGCTATGGAATGTAAGTGTTAAGAACCTATGGAAGGAAAAAAAATGTAAATATGTGTGATAAAATTACAGCATATATAAAGTTTTCTTGTCCTTTACCCTATAAAACAAACAATTTTAATGTGAATTTGATAAATCTATAACCTAATGTTAGAGATCCCCAGTTGTATTCAAAGTCTGCCCTTGTGCCCAGGTACCGGTGTATGGCTGCTGTAATTGGTTTGGTTGTATATTTCAGAGTGTGTGTTAGTATAGTAAGTTTTGTATTATAACATCACTAAAACATTTCCTGCTGTGACGTAAAGCACAGTACAGGACTGCGCCACCTCTCAATCTTTAAACCCAAATTCTCCTTTTGGTTCCCACCCATCCTTATAACTGATGAAGCAGACACAGCATTTGTGTCCACTGGTTCCAGGTAGTTGGGGTCTGGAGTAAGTGCAATCTGGGGGCCACTTATATAAAGGATGTGATTTCTTACACAGTGCCTCAATACTATGCTTTCCCACCTTAAAGGGAAGTGCTCATGGAACAGTTAACCCAACAGTAATTTAGGAAAAAGTATGCAGCCAAATTTAAAAATACTGATTCTTAATGTCCTATTTTCTTCTTTAATCATTACTGTATGCATATATACATGTATATATATGTGTGTATATATATACATATATATATATATGAAACCTACTGAGCTGATTTAGTGGTGCTCAAAAGCATACGTGTCTTTAACTGACCACTTGGAATTGGATAACCTATCAGGGAGCTTATTCCTGGAGAAAACTGATTCTCCTCCCTCAGCAACCATTGATCGCCTGTAGTTTTTCATCTAGAGATGGGACCCATTGGCATATCAATTAGTGTTGTCACTATGCGGGTCTTGTTCAGGCAACCATATTGTTGAGATTTTTGTGGCTGTGGCCTCCCCATCATGTCTGGAAGACACTGTCCACAGCAGGTGTCCTGGTCTCTTTCTGCCCCATTTTCTGCAATGCTCCCTGAGCCTTAAGTGTAGGGTTTGCATTATAGATATATCAGTTGGGGCTGGGAACCCCATGGTAGCTTGTTCTCTGAATTTTGACTAGTTATGGATCTCTGTAATGATCTCCATCTATGACAAAGAGAAGTTTCTTTGATGACGGATGATAGCTAACTGTATTTGGAATACAGTTAGAAGTTATATTGATTTAGGAAAATAGCAGTGGTAGGTTCTCCTCTAAGGACTGTGACCACTCCAGCCTGGGGATTTGGCTAGGTTTACAGTACCAGGCATGAATTCCCTCCTATGGAGTGGGTCTTAAGTCCAATTAGACAGCTGTTTGTTACTCCTAAAACAAAAGCACCACTATTGTGCCACTGGGATATGTTGCTGGTCATTGTTGTGGTTCATAGGTGTCCTACTTTGCTTTTTGTTGCTGTGATAAAATCCTCAGGAAGGAAAGGAAAGGGTTTGTTGTATCTTACAGGTTACCGTCCACCATCAAGAGAAGCCAGGGCAGGAGCTCAAGGCAGGAACCCGAAGGCTATAACTGAAGCAGAAATCATGAAGGAACAGTACTTACTAGGTCACTTCCCCTGACTTTCCCAACTTCTCAGGGTCTCCTTGTAGCCCCAGCTGGCCTGGAAATCACCATGTAGACCAGGCTGGCCTTGAACTCACAGAGATCCGCCTGCCACTGCCTCCCAAGTGCTGGGATTAAAGGTGTGCACCCCCAAGCCTGGTTCAGCTTCCTTCTTATACAGCCCAATCCCACCTTCTGCCCACAGTGGGCTAGGCCCTCCTACACCAACTAACAAGAAAATGCCTCAGGGCTAGAGAGATGGCTCACTGGTTAAGAGCACTGACTGCTCTTACAGAGGACCCAAGTTTGAGTCCCAGCACCTACATGGAGGTCAACAGCCATCTGTAAGTCCAGTTCCAGGGGATCCAGCGCCTATGTCAAGTTGACAAAAACTAACCAGCATGGTAGGCTTAATATTGATCGCTGTGATACTGTGAGAGCTGGTCCTCAGGAAGGAGGCTTCCAGGTCAGTTCCAACTCGATTCCTCTAAGTCCTGTGTCCAAAGTATGTGATGGCTTCAGCAATAGATAATCTTCAAGTTCTGGGAGGTAACCAAAAGCATAGCAATAACCTATGTTGTTTGGGGAATCTTTTGGACTCCCCTAACCAACTACTTGAAGGGAAGTTTCCCAGGCGTGGCACTTTGGCTTTTGTTAGATAGTCTATGGCTCTTGAGGGAAGCATAATCCATTTAAACTATATACATATACATATATACACATATACATTGTGTATGTACTTTTAAGTAAGTTTATATGTTTCCCTATGGCTTTTTTTTTTTTTTTTTTTTTTTGGTCTTTTTGAGACAGGGTCTCCCTGTAGCCCCAGCTGTCCTGGAACTCACTATGTAGACCAGGCTGGCCTTGAACTCACAGAGATCCGCCTGCCTCTGCCTCCCAGGTGCTGGGATTAAAGGCAAGCACCCCCACGCCCGGCCCCTATGGCTTTCTTAAACGCCCTTAGTGCTATTTATCTCTTCTTCCTCCTTCTCCCTGTGTATTGCCCTCCCTCCTCCTTCCCTGGTTCATGTTTTCTAGTCGCCTGTGTCCTACTGCCGCCCTCTCTAGAGCTCCTTCTACCACCTGTCCCCCATGGTTCCTTTCTACTTTCCTGTCTTTTGTGGTTACTTCAGGTTATATATATATACTCACATCAAAAATTCAGAGCTAGGACCCCAATAGGAGAGAACACAGAGTGTTTGTTTTCTGGGTCTGGGTTACCTCCCTTTATCATGTTTATAAGCAAAATAGTTCATTTGTATTTCTTCAAATAACTTCTAATAAAACATTGCCCATCAAACATCAAACACTGACTAACATAATGGAAAAGTTTATATAGTGATTAATGTGATGATCTGAATTTTTGAAACATGAAATTTAAAAATACT